GCTCGTTCGCTACGCTCACTCACCTTTAGGTTGGAGCTCGTTCGCTGCGCTCACTTGCCTTGAGGTTAGTTCGTTCGCTACGCTAACTCACCTCCAGTTGAAGTTCGTTCGCTACGCTCACTCACCTTTCATAAATTAAAAAAATTACAGTGCTGCACCCTGTTGGTAAACCTATTAACTTTTTAATGCTATTTAACATCACAGAATCAAATTGTTTGGTTGAACCAGTTGTTAAGATTCTTTAATTCCATTTAAATATGAGTACTCATAAGGTTATCATGGGAAACTCCAGAGCCACTGGGGCGGAGCCCTTTTGACGGATCTGCACCAAACTTCACACAAACCATCTTTGAATAATGATAAATAATGCCTGAAAGTTTTATTACAATCTGTCGAGCGGTTTCGGAGTCCATAAAGGACAAACATACAAACATACATTGGATTTTATATATATAGATACACGATGTTGAATTATTCTAATTGCTTTTTGTCTCATTTTCTGATACTAATGCGCCTGTTGCTCGAATTCGAGCAATTGCAAAGTATTACAGGCGTTATTTCAAAACTAATAAAGCAATTTCCGATTACTTAAAAGAGTCAACTCAAAGATAATTAAATGTAATCAATCATACGACAGCTGTAATTAACACAAATGATTCGCCTGTTTAAGTAAACAAAATCTTTTCTTCATAAAAAATACATTGGGATTTTGATTGGCCTGTGGGGCAAAGCCTGAGGACTTTAATTACAGGGATTAGTGAAAGGGAGCGTCTACACAAAAAAGTTTTTTTGAGTTTCTAAAAATCCGTCCGTTATTAACGGAGGTGTAGTGGATCGTAGAAATCGCCTTCACGTATTATAAGGATATCTTTTCAAAGATAAACCAGCCCAAATATATTCACTCTTCTAAAATACCCTTTGGAACATGTCCAGTAAATTCCTATTGAAGATGTAAGCAACATCAACGGAATTTTATTACGTTATTGACTAGAATCAGGGCAAATTGGCCGTAGGAGTAAACAAGTTTCTGCAAGCAAACATTGGGCAGGCCAGAGTGTCAGGTCTGAGAGTTTTCAAGTGCGCTGACGTCAGAGCACGTCCCACAGACTGACGGAAATAAACAGACATGCGCATGCATCCTCAATATAAACCTAATAAACCACTGGTAATATGTGGGCAATATTGCGCCAATATACTGTTATTTGGAGAAATGCCCGAATATTCCAGATTTAGTTCTCAACTAAAAGTACCTATTTTTTAATCGTTAGTTTTTCAATGTATGTAGATAAAACTAAACGTTCGCAAGTTTTATTTAACAACTACTATAAGCTTGGACAGATGTACGAGCTTACGTTTTTGATGATTCCCACAAATACAAACTTCACACTGTCCTATCTTTTTGCTTAAGCAGGGCCGGATTTAGCATTTTGGCGCCCCTAGGCCCAAATGGTTTTTCCGCCCCCTGTTCTGGTAACAGTTTCTTTCCTACAAACCTTTATTAAAAACTATATCATGCCTAAAGGCCTATGTTAATTGCTTAACACCACTCATCGTCGGAATTTTATCATTGCAAGTTTTTTTTAAGAATTGTCTTGGTTAGCCTTAACAAAATGCCGTCTTAAACACTTTTGGCAATTTTATGCTTTTAGCAAATGCTCACGCTTGTGGGACTGAAACAAAACAATCCAACCCACAGAGCATTTCTGCAAAAAAAGCATGTCCATTGATTCCAATTTCAGGCCCCAAAACATGAACTCCATAACAGTACGTAGGGATTAGCTGAAAACAATTCTTTTTATTTAAGTTATATGTTATTTCAACCTAGTTTGTCCAAAATAAAACGATCTAATCATAAACAATAGGTCGTCCCCAGATCCCCTGGTTATATTACAAGAAACTAAAACTCTCACAACGACAACATAGAATAATAGAAACAAAATTACGTCAAAACCACTGAGCTAAAATTATAACTAGAGGTAGCACTGCCATGTCAGAAGTATGTCAAAAGCGAGTCGCTGATTTTGTTAGGTTGGTATAGCAGTAAGTTTTCTTACCATAGCAATAACATGGCTTCTTATAACTAGGTTGTATAGCAGTGAGTTTTTTTGTCATAGCAATAACATGGCTTCTTATGGACACCCACCTCACGCAAACATGGCGGCTGGCGACACGCATCTTTGACATTCAGTGCTACCTCCAGTTAGAATTATAGCTCAGTGGTCAAAACTAACTTCCAGTGTGACCAACCTATATGAACTAGACATTAAAAACTATATTTAGGATTAACAATATGATAACTAGTCGACTTGAGTTTATGGTTAATCTATGGTGGTACTGCATTCAGATTATATTTGCAGAGCAATAGTCCGGCCAACCATAATTATCCTCATGTCTGAGCTGAGGAGAAAATGACATCAAATGGTGCTTTGGAGGGGATTTAATTTTTCTAAAACCTGTTGCAAACTCAGATATTTTTTCGTTATTGAATTTTAAAGATAAACTTATCGTATTTTTAATATTCAAAACGTATATTATATATTTTAACTTGACCCTGCAGGTTGCTTTAAACTGATCAAAAGATTAGTTAATACATTTTCTTTTTGAAGGGTGGTAACGGTGTCTAACACGCATACGCCCCTAATCACTCCGATCAGTTGTGTTGTGCCGAGCCAGCATAGTGGCAGTGCAAAGAGTACAGTGGCAATACGGTGCGTACTGCTCGGGCGCTCGACAGCATCCCTACAGCCTACTCCCGTATAACCAATGTTCGTTATCAATGTTGTAACGAAATTGATGAGTAATGTTGAAAAACTGTTTATATTTTCTAACAGTTATTTCTTCTAATGAATTTAAAAATTATAATGCTTTATTGGCAAGAGTTATTTTTTATATCAACTCGCAAAATATGTTAAGCTATGGCTATTTATTTTATTTTTAGATATTGAAGAAATATTTTTCCTCTCGGCCGTGCGCCCTCTGGGAGCTTGCGCCCCTAGGCCCGGGCCTACCGGGCCTATTGGGAAATCCGGCCCTGTGCTTAAGTGGCAGGTTTTGTTTCCGATTCAGGTCAAATGGCTCTACTAATTGCCGGAGAAATTGATCCTGCTGTTCTTAACTGCTTTACTGTAATTCAGGATCCAGCTATAGGGCTGTACAAAACCGGCGTTAAAGTAGCTTCTTTACACTTTAAGTCATATAAGCCATTTAGTCACTGCTATTTGATTACCAGTCAGCATTTTTATCAGCCACCCTTTTTTATATTTAGGTTGTTTTGTTTACAATCTGTGGTACTGGTATGTGGTATGTCAACTTGTTACACACACACACATACACACACACACACGCACACGCACGCTCTGGGGCACGGTTAAACTTAGTAAAAAGGCGCAAGAACTAATCTAAACATGTCTCAAATCCTTTTATTTTAAGAAAGAAAAAAGTTGTTCAAGGACAATTTAACTTTGAGATCAAGAGGCACTACGATGGTTACAATAAAAATGGTGTAGCCTAATCTAAATTAATAACATTTTAGTTCGATGTTGATGGCCCATTATTACAGGGTGTTCATAAAAGGTGGGGACGTAATTTAGGTAGTGATTCCTTGGGTCAAAATAAAGAGAAACTCAAGAGTAAAATTTTTTCCAAAATCGCTTTGTTAACCAGATATCCGCCATTTTATATTTTTTACATAATAATATAAACATTTTTACTTTGAAAATGTTCAACAGATCATTATGAAACTTGGTAGCCTACGTATGTTAAGATAAAAGAGACCCATATTAGGAAAAAATTCATCTTGAAATTTCAAAGTGGCAGCAATTTTAATTTTTTAATCTTAAATTACAAAAAAATTGCTGATTTTATGAAAAAATTTCAGGAACACTTTAATTTAGTACTTCTAATCCCCTATCATATGATACCAAGTTAAAAAATATTGAATAAGAAATAGCTGAAATTTTAAGATTTTTAGTTGTAAAATGGGACAAACCTTACTAGCTTAGCCTTATTCTAACCCATTTTACGATTAAAAGTTGTAATACGTCAGCTGTTTATTGTTCGATATTTTTTAACTTGGGTATCGTTTGATAGGGAATTTAAAATGCTAAATAAAAGTATTCTTGACAATTTTTCATAAAATCTGCAATTGTTTAGTAATTTAAGTTTAAAAAATGTAAATGATTGCCATTTGGACATTTTAAATTGGATCAAGATAATTTTTCCCCCTTAACATGGGTCTTTTCTACCTTAACATACATAAGTTTTATAAAGATCAGTTTAACATTTTCAAAGATAAAAATGTTTATGTAAAAAATACAAAATGGCGGATACCTGGTTATAGAAGCGATTTTGGAAAAAAATGTTATTCTTCATTTTCTCTTTATTTTGACACAAGGAATTACTGCCAAAATTATGTCCCCACCTTTTTTGAACACCCTGTATACAGGGTGTCCCGTAAGTATACAGCTAACTCCGGGAAATAATGGTTCTATGGGTCAAAATAAGGAGAAAATCAAGATAACATATTTTCCAAAATCTCTTCGTTAATTAGATATTCGCCATTTTGTTTTTTCACATTAACATTTTTATCTTCAAAGTTTTTCAACCGATCATTATGAAACTTGGTACCGGTATGTATGTTAAGGTAATAGAGACCCATGATGGAAAAAACTCATCATTCGTCATAAAATTTCAAAATGGCGGCCATTTTAATTTTTTAAACTTAAAATTACTAAAAAGTGGCTGATTTTATGGAAAAATTACAAAACACTTTATTCCCTATAACCGATACCAAGTTCAAAAAGACAGAATAAGAAATATGTGAAATATTACGATTTGTATTTGTAAAATGGGGCAAACCTTACTAGCTTGGCCTTTTTTTATAAAAAGGTTCCTTGTAAATTGTTTTAAATGAATGTAGGCGCTGGGTAACGCTAGTTTTTTAAAAATAAATTATATGTTTTAAATAACCTATCAAATATGTTATAATGTGTTCTGAACAGGTCTGCAAGCAGAATTGACTGCTGCTTACAAAGAATCTGAATTTGTGAAAAAGCGGCTGAAGAAAGTGGAAGAAGATTTGGATGTTTTAAGACAAAGGAATGCAGAACTAACGGAAGAACTGGAGAAAAAGTCAGGTACTGGTACCTCCTATGTGTTAATATGTAATATACTGTACTAGCGGATATGAACACTGCAGTTGTAGTACAATCTTTTGACTATTGATAAAACTAGACATTCCATCGCCCATCCAAATGTTAAAGATATTTAAATAAAAAATGGACGTAGTTGATGTGAGTTGATTGTGCTGATGTTGATGTAGACTAAATTACTTATTTCTCTCACATATGCAAACTTTTTAACCAAGTAAAACTGATGGGATGGCATATTGTAAGCCAAAGAATATTTTATGTCAACTAGTAGCAAAAATAAGGTAGAAAATAATATTTAAGATAGTGGCAGAGACTGGCTCGCATCTCTCTGCGTTCTTTTTAATAAACATTTGGTGACAGCTGGTCCTTTATATGGAACATCTTCCTTATACAAAAGTTGGTACATATTTTAACAGTCAGTAGCTTTTTGATGGTTCAAAACTGGACCCAGCTGTTCCTGATCATTGGGCTTTAAATAAATGATCCTGACTAATGAAACCGCTGATCTTAGTCAGTAACAAAGCTACACAGGTCATCACACACCATTCTACACTCATCCTTCACTCATATTTGCGTTGAAATATGCACCTAGGTGGCGTCCCTATCTCAACGATTGATAATTGAATACTTGGAGACAACCTTGGCACACAGAATGAAAGCAAAGGATTTGTATTCATTGATTAAAGTGGACATGTACCAATTAATTCATTGCATGTACTGCGATATGTACTGGAAATAATTCTGCTTTAATAGATTACAGAATAGTTTCATTTTGTACATATTAAAAGATTTTTATGCAAGAAACTACTTGATTGGTCCAACTTATTCTTATTGTCCCTTGGGAGCTGTTAACATAACAAGATAAACTAAACATGTAGATATTCAAATACTGTACCTAGCTTTACAATTGCAGACTATTCTGTAGTTAAAATAAAAGTTTCAATTTTCCTTTAAAACAGTCATACTGTAATTGGATTTAAAAATGTAAGGTAAAATAACAAGTTAATATCGTTTTAGAGGTTAATAGATACTCTTAATAAGGTTGTGAAAATTCTGGCAAAATAGTCTTTAATTGTGCAGTCATGTCCGACTTCTAATCAAACAACAAATTAAAAAACAAATACAAAACCAAATTTAGGTTGCACAGCTTCTTCTTCCTGCTGGGATCTGCTTGTGCTTGGCAGGCTACAACTCCTCATCAGGACAGGACCATCTTTTGGTTTTTGTAGCAGGAGCAACACAAGATATGTTTTTCAATTGTTGGTAATGTTTGGCTCTTAAACATTGGAAATTATTTGTTACTGTATTTGTAGATTTCATATCATAACAGTAATTGATGGTAGATGCCTTAAGTGGAGCAGACTGAAAGAGATACTACATAGTGATAATATTACCTTCTGGCGTTCCAATTCTTGTAGACACTAATACACGTTTTGTCGCCACCCAGAATTAAACATGTGCGTACGAGTGATGTGGCCACCGCGACGATATTACCGATCGGTTAAGTGTAATTTTGTGTATTTATTGTGTGTCATGAATGTTTCATTTTAATATTCAAGACAAAGCCATAGCGAATTAACTACCTGATGATGTCACTGTGCTGACAAAACACATAGTAGTGTCTACAAATATTGGAACGCCAGAGGGTATATTATCAAAATATTATCTCTATAATTTATATTTGACGTTCCAGTGGTAGGAAATGGATTCTATACTACAACTTCTTTTTTTAGAGTTTGTTGATCCTATCAGATCCTTACTACAGAAAACCGTGGACTACTATTGAAAATTTAACCTTAATTTCAGTGGAGTTAATTGATGCGGAAGATTGTTTTGACTTCAACCACCTACTGGAAGTTGAGAAGCAGGTTAAAGAGTTGACGTTACGTGTGAAGGAGCTAGAATCCCAGTTAGAACATCTTCGACAAGAAAGGAACCAACTAGAACAAAGAGCTCAAACCCTTGAAACTGAGCGATTAGAGGAGCGCAGGATCATTCAGGAGGTGAATGCATTTTTATGTACACTCACTGTTGACCCAATATTGCAGAATTATCAGTTGTTTGCCTCTTAGTGATATCCCAAATCCACTCCATCCAAGTTAACAAATCGTTTTGTCAACTGAAAGTGGGTAGCTATCATGACACTAAAAGTTAGGATTTCATTTATTTTGTTCAAATGAATGATTTATATTGCTGACACACTTTGTGGACTAGTCAGGAGTTTCTTGTTTGGAATTTTGTGCATCAATTGGATTTTTTTAGACTTTAGACTTTTGTTAATTGTTTTGTAATAATATGTTTCAAATTATTGATAAACCCAGTTTTGGTAGTGGTGGAGGTATTGGTTGGTAACCAAGGCTCTAGTTGGTATGTTTCAATTTTATTCTCATTGTTTCTCAATGCTTGGGTTATTACTTAATATTTCATCAACAAAATTTTATTTTTCATTTTTAACAAAAGTTAACTTTATCTTTCCAAGCTTGGCGTAAATATAAACTGTTAATTACATGATAGAAATACAGCTTTACTAATGGAAACAAAAAAAGTCCAGAGTTTTGACTTTGGTTTAAAATTTAAAAAAATTATAAAAAGGAGTATACAACATATATATGCAAAAATGATAAATAATTAAGGAAAATGCATTTCAATTTTTTTTATTAAGCAAAAAATGATATTTTTTACAATTACAGGCGTTAGACAGTGCATTAGCTGAAAAGCAGTCAATACAAACAAAATTTGAAAAAGACTTTGAGAGACTGAGGACAGTAAACACAGACAGGGAACAACAACTTCTGGACGACTTTGAGTGGAAACTGAGGGAAGTGAACCAAGCATGCAAAAAGAGGCTGGATGAAAAGGAAAACTCTTGTAAACAGAGAATCAAAACTATGGAAGATAAGCTAAATGCAGCCGAACAAGAGTTGACTCAGGTAATGAACACATTTATTCAATTTATATGAATTTATATGAAGAAATCTTTTACAAGAATATATTCAAGAAGTTAATTTAAATTTAACCACAATGTCCTATAATGTGGTTTTAGATGATAACACTCTCGCAATACCTGATGTTTTAAGTAATTTAACATAATGGGTATCTTAATACTAAATGACTCTGTACATACGTTGTTTGTGAATCTCCCTTTCAGCACGGCTAAGAGTGTTGCAATTCGAAATTTAACTTCTTCACTCATCTTGTAAAATCTATATATTTACTAAATAATGCCACAAATCGTAAAAAAATAATTATTTACAGTAATCGTTTACACCCAATAATCAACGCACACACTAAACTAGAGGTCGCATCTCGGAAGTTGCCTCCAGGCTGTATAAGAATCGGCAGAGCGCAGTTCCAGCCTCTTACAAAACTGAACAAAACTAAGAAATATAAAATAGTAGGGGTGAGTTTTGACCTTCACTCGATTCTAGGAATGAGGTACAGTGACACTCACACTGCCGACACCACTCAAAATAACGCGAAAAATAAAACATCCCTGGAGGTTACTTCCGTGATGCGACCTCTGGAAGGTTAAACTCTTGATTATGTGGTTATTACACTTATACCCAATTTTGAACTCTTCTTTTACCTTTTTCCCAAGTTGGAGAGATTGAAGCAGTTCGAGGCGGAGGCGACGATGTTGAGGGGATTGAACCTGGAGCAACAACGAGCTCTGAGGTTTGCTGAGAGGGCTAAGGAGGAGCTGCAAGTGAGTGAGAAGGTTCTGCACGAGGAGGTGAGAAAGTTGAAAGAGTTCTTGGACAAGGAGAAGTCTGCACTGACCACCATGCAGGTAGGATATGTTCTGGACAAAATACTCTCCAAGTAAAGTGTACTCGTTTTTCATTCTGAAAGTTTAAAAATTATTTTAAGTCTGGAATTTTTGTTTAGCACTTAATTTCCAGTGTGTGGATAAGATATGTTAGCGGCTGCTTATGAGACTAAGTACATAAAATGGTATGCTTTAATTTCTTCACTTTAATATAACAATAGAGTAATATTTATTACAAAAGTTGTGCTAAGTGCTTGCGTACTTGTATATTCTTCTAAAGTGTAAGCTTTAATGATTGTCTTTAATGACAAATAATAGCTACAAATTACCTTGCAAGACTAATATTTAACAATATCTAACAAGTAGGCCTAGAGTAACTGTGGAAAAACTTGCTACTTAGGTTTCGGCCGTTATTACAACACAACCATCGTCAAGCTGAACAGGATATAGGAATTGTTTATTGGGAGCACTGACAAGAACTGTTCCACCAATATTTCCTGAAGTTTTGTTGTAGAGAAGCTAAAATGTAGTAAATATCTGTATTTTCTAAATAACCATACTTGCAATAGGTAGTCATACATTTATTAAAATGCACTTTGTGTAACCACTCCACACTCATAGAACCATGTGTACTTATGTACCATATACTACCATGTGTAGAACCATGTACTACTTTTTATATATGTTTTGTAATTTCGGTTTACATATTAAGTTGTAGGTGTTATTTTTGTAAAAAATACTTGACTGTTTAATATTTCAGGCAATTCATAACAGAGAAATAGACGAGAAGGAGAGGAAGATGAGATTTAGGTTGGAGCAACAAAAGACTGAGCTAAATAACCAGGTAAATGACAAGTGTTGAGACAATAGAAACATTTATAGCTACAGATGTGATATGAAGGGTTGCTAGTTTAAAATTAAAGTTTTGGTTTAGTAAATGTAATTAACACAATCATACAAAAGAAGGTTTGTTTTAAATATGCTAAACACTGAAACAACGCACATAATCCAGAAAATATATAAAAATAAAGCTACAATATGTTTTAACTTATAGAGTTTACAGAAGTATTGCCATGCAAACATCAGGATTCGATTTATGTCAAATTGCCAAGAGACTAAAAACTATAAGCACATTCACTGAAACTTCGTAAGCTTAAGTCCTTCCCAACAGTAAAAAATTGCCACCTCGTTATCACTCAAAAATAACATTTTCATATACATTTTTGACTCATTTGGTAAATTTTTAAAACTAAAACTGTTTTAGAAACTAGGATAAAACATATTAAAACCAATAATAAATATTTTTTAAATATTGTCACAACCATGTTTAGGATTTGAAGTAAATGCCATCACAGAAAATTTAGAAAACTAGTGCACATGTTGCTCAAATTCGAGCAATTGCGAAGTATTACAGGTGTTATATATATTTTAAAACAAATAACAGTCACAATTTCCGATGACTTAAAAGAATCAACTCAAAGATAATGTAATCAATTACTCCACTCCAGTTATCGAAACTGGAAACGAACTCACTCTAAAATCGAACGCTCAGTCCATTCCAATTATCGAAACTGATAACGAATGCTCTTGTGTGTATCATGTGCCTTTACTACAAACAGCTGTAATTAATACAAATTATTTGTCTGTTTAAGTAAACAAAATCTTTTCTTCATAAGAAATACATTGGGATTTCAAAGGCCTGAGGAGCAAAGCCCGAGGACTTTTATTACATGAATTGGTAAAAGTCTAAACAAAAAATACTTAATTTTGACACATCGTTTGTAAAAATCCGTCCATTATTAACGGAGGAGTAGTGTTTTGTAGAAATTGCCTTCACGTATTATATATAAGGATTTTCCCTGAGACAATATATAAATACAGTAAATATGTATTGTATTAGTATTAAAGTAGTATTGTATTAAAGTAGTGGGAAATATTGTTGTTTTTACTTGGATGAGTTTTTCATCGTATAAAAACTTTCAGTGGGAAGAAAAGTTGAAAAAAGAAACAATAAAACTGAGAGTTGAGTTGGATCAAGTCAATCGAGATGAGAAGCGATTGGTATTGCAATCTGCAAGGCTGGAAAAAGAGGCAGAACTTCAGAAGGCCAAGGAGCTATGGGAACATCAGTTTAAGGAGCTTCAAAACCAGGTAAAGATTCTTAAAATCGTAGGATAAACTGTAGTTTTGAAATATTTAAAAAAATAAAACATCTACTAAAAAGAATGATATTTTCTAATAATATAAGGTAAAATGTTCTTATTAATTAGATTAGTACATTTCTTTCTTTTCAGTGAGACTTAAAATAAATGTTAAGAATGAATATTTTTAGTAACTGCTAACAATACACCTTTAAAGTAAGCTATCAGTTAAAGTTCTTAAGTGCAACCTATAGTAATCCAAACTCAACAAAGTAGTCTGTATAGTACAGTACAGTATTTACTATACAGGGTGAATAAAAAGTCAAGACACCCCCTCTAATATTTTTCCAAGTAAATATACAGAGATATCCTTTTGGTTGTCGAGCAATCTTAGCAGGAAGTTTCATTTTATCATTTTGAAATATTTGAGTGTCCTCCCAAAAGGGGGGATTTGGGGGGCAACTCAAATATTTTAAACGTAAACCCCCTTCAAGTGACACCTCATTTTGAAGTGTTTACAAAAACTTAAAGAATGGTGAAAACTAGAGGTCGCTATCTCTTCTCTATCCAAAATGGCAGCCAATATTAACAATTTTACCGTTGATTTTCCACAACATTTGACGGGCTACCATTTTGGATAGAGATGAGATAGTGACCTCTAGTTTTCTCCATTCTTTAAGTTTTTGTAAACACTTCAAAATGAGGTGTCACTTGAAGGGGGTTTACATTTAAAATATTTGAGTTGCCCCCCAAATCCCCCCTTTTGCGACACTCAAAAATTTCAAAATGATAAAATGAAACTTCCTGCTAAGATTGCTCGACCATCAAAAGGATATCTCTGTATATTTACTTGGAAAAATATTAGAGGGGGGGGGGTCTTGACTTTTTATTCACCCTGTATAAACTTCTTTGCAAATGGGAGCTTATGGAATTAAAGCAAAATAATAAATGTGGGTCATATTTCAAGAGAGTTACTTAAATTAGCCTATATTATAACTATCCATTTTCAGATTGAAGCTCTGAAACAAAAGATTCTGGATGAAGAAGAAGAACATAAGAACAAAATTGAAAACATAAGAACCAGTGCAGATTGTGATATTTTTGAGCTAAGAAGAAAGCTAGATAGGATAGATATATCATATCAAGACAAAATTGAAAAACTCCAAAATGAACACGAAGCAGAAAAAGGTAAAGCAAATAAGTAAAATTACATTTTGTTAAAATTTTTCAGAAGGACTTTTTATATCTAGAAAATATCAAATATAAAATTGATCACGGTATTTATTATTATGTTAATGATATATTTATGCCTCTAACCATTACTGTATTTGGGGTCTAAATAAGTACTTATGGGTTTTGTTTTCACACTTTACAAAGTACAGTAACCATTGAATTTGAATTTTATGGTATAAAGGTAGGGCCCATATGGGTATGTCAAATGCTAAACAATATGGTGTCAGCAAGCAGAGATATGTATCAAGAAATAAAAACTTTGAATACAGGGGTTAGGATTTAAAAAATCAAAAACCCATAAAAAAAACACGAGCAAGAGGATTAGATTTGTCTTCCCTTTGGTTTACCTGTAGTTTGACGATTATTTATATGTTCTTACCTCTACTGCCCGTTATCACAGACTAGTGGTCTGTGCAGTCTAAAGGCAGTGAAATAGTTTTACAGTTTAAGTAATATAGGCAAAGCCAGTGGTGACTGCAGGGGATCGGATAGCCATAATCACAAACCAGCTTAGTCTCTTCTGCCTTTTAAAACTCTTTATTTCAATACAAGTGACAATAGTTGAGGATTAATTCGGGAAACGAGGAATGTTATATGGTCCAGTAGTTAAAGAACTCACATTGTAATGTGAAGATTAAGAACTTTTTGGCTTTGATTATTGGGATTTTCATTAGTGATTCTGACTGAAGAAGATTTTACAGTTGTAGATCAAGTAAATAGAGGAAACAAAAAAAAATTGTCAGCCTTGCTTCACAATAATTGTGAACATTTTCTTAATATTATTGTTATTATTTTGAATAATAACACAATTAATTATTGTGTTATTGTGTGTAAAGATTGAATTGAGTTTTGGTGTGTCAGAGAGGCTGGTGGAGGAGGCGGAGCGCAGACTACAGAGTTGTGAGCAGAGCTGGCAGATGCAGCTGAGCTCTACTCGGGCCACGCTGGAGCTGGTCAAAGAGCAACTCAAGAGAGAAGCAGCGGAGAGAGAGGAGGCCCTGCAAAACAACCACCGTCGTCAGCTAGAGGAACAATGGGACCAGCTAGCGCAAGAGAGAGATGAAATCATTGCTGTGATAGAAGAGAAACATAAAGCCAATATAGAGAAACTGAAAGCTGAATTAGAGGCGACTTACAAGAGCTGTAACTCCAAAGAGCAAGAGGTCAACATATTGAACAAATTAGAGAACTATTGCCTTGCTATTGCAGGAACATTTAACAAACTTACCAAGTGAACTCTGCTTGTAAAATATGTTGCAAATTTAGGTTATCACTACTCAACTCTGCACAACGACTTGGTGTTTGTTGATTTGTTTCTTATGTTAAATTATACTGGAGTCCTGCTCATTTTTATTACTTTGGGATGGAATAAATGCTTTTCAATAATAGTCGCTATGTTACAAAACAGGGTTTTCATCGGTTTACACGTAGTTTGTTATCCACTCTTCAGTTCTATGAAAAATACTTTTACAGTTAGGTATAAGACAACAATCAGAATGAAGGCTTCTTTACTTAATTAGAGTAAGTAAATTACTTAGGGATAGTTACCTGAACTGATGTGGAAGCAGCACAAATTAATACATCTGTGCTTTTTTCTAAAAAAGCATGGCATAATTTGGTGACTAGTGTTTTCCTGAATGTAGTTTTGGCAGATTTAATTGATTAAAACCTGTCATATAAAAAGGCCCCTAGGACCTTGGTTGTGTAATATTGTTTGCGTTCATAACTTTTGGCTTTTCACAGTTACTTCCTTCATAGTTTTTGCAACCTAGTTTTGAATAGAATAATTATTCATCTTTCACATTATTTATGTTTTTAGAATAACTTTTTATTTTGATTACATGCGATAAGTAGAACATTTTCATGTGTCTTGTGTAGAAAGATCTTGAATGTAAAGTAAACTAAAATTTTATTTTATTGACGAAATTTAATCCATACAATCAGAGTAAAGTACAGTAACCATATAGAATTCTGCGTGTGCATAGTTATATTATCAGTAATGCTTTTTGTTTATTAAAAATACAATGTTTCTTATAGAAAAATATTTGTTTGAAAGTTATTTTCTGAGGTTAAAAATTAAGGTCCCCGTCAAGGTATTTTTGCAGTTGAGTGAGTTAGTTCAAATCTGAGAAAAACGACAAGTTCCTTACTTTATCCACTAACTATTCTAGCATTCTCTTCCCTATGGTATGATTTGTCTTCAGGTCTTGTTATAGTATTAAAAAACATTGTGAAAGAACATTGACTTGACACTCCCGCCCAGAAATGGATGACAATCTGCGATTAGGTTCTTGTAGGAAGGGGGTCAACCCCTGTTGATTACTGCTTCCAGTTGACAGGATTTGATGCAGAAAATGTGCATAAGCAACTTAGAAATTTAAGGACACACATTTGCACAACGGGGTCGGAAGCAGGTGTTCATCATTGGGGCTGTGATTGGATTTGAGGAAACTGTTCAGCATGTTTCAGACTTTCAGGACTGATTGTAGTCCTTGATAGTATTCACTGAGACATGACAATGAGGGAGGTTTTCAGTTACCGGTACTATAGATTTTACGTGTCAAATTCGTCAAACTTTATTCACTGTTTCAAAAAAGACTGATAACGAAAGCAGTCTGCCTATTCTATGGAAAACATCGTGAACATTTTTAAAACCCCCTCTGATCCCCCTGCAACCCTAGCGCACATTTTCTACGTTCATACACACTTACTCCTTCACATCCATCAACCGAGACACGATTGATACCACAGAAATCTTACCCAATTCATACTTGGTGTAAATGTTGATTTCAAAAAGTTGTTGAATACTATGATGAGACTAATCATCCCGTATGGGTAGGACCCGACTATTATAGTAGTGGATGAGGTAAGAAACACAATGTCGATCACAGATTGGACCTCACTTGCTTGGCTGCAACGGGAGCTCAATAGAGACCTTCATTTACGGACAACCCTTATATTAAGTTTCATGCCCTTCATTCAGAAAGTTCACTTAGTAAGTTTGATGGTCTAATATTAAAAATTTTATTTTTAAAACTAATTTTGTTCAGGTTTAAAAACCTATAGAATTTTAATGAATTACCGTATGTAAGATTTTGTAGTGTTATATAATGCTAAAACAATTTTTGAATTTTAATTTGTCTAAAAATGTTACAGTAGTTTATAGTAAAACCAAGCAAAACTATTTTACTGTGGATTTTCAATAATTATTTTATATATTTAACTAGTATAAAATGCACTGGATTATATTGATTATAAATTAATTGATTACATTGCAGCTAGTTGACAAAATATCGATACTGCAAGATGAAGACTGTGGGAAAAAACGTCTCATAGGAGATTTGACAAAGCAGAACGAAACGCTTGAAGAGAATATCAATGAAATTAGCAAAAAGTATAGTGATCAAAAAGAACATTTCCATCAAGCGCAAGAGGAAATGGAGAAAAAAATTAAGTAAGTAGACTTTAAGGACAAGTATCAAAACACTAATATAGTTACTATATTCAAAACATACATATATTTAATCTATTTAAACATCTATCAATCTATCTATATACTTATGAGGGTAGTTTTTTAAGTAAGAGCTGTTTTTGTGTATAGCTTGGTGGTTTGCGTGTACGCCGCCACAAGACTCCTCGCCACTTACTGGCATCATTAGTGAACAAAAATTAGACCATTTGCAGCTCTGTAGCTGAGGTGTACGCTTTGTTATATGTGTAAAACTTTTTTTTTTATTATTGAATCTTGGAGACAACCATGTGCCAGATAAGGCCAGTGATTTTTGACCACAAGAAACATATCAGATGCTGACGTTCATTGCCAGATGACTGAAGGTTGTCATCCTAATGCAATGATAGCGGAAAAGTGCTGAAATATATTCACAGTCTCATTCAGCCAATGTTCATTCAATGCTGGTAGCGTCATGAACACATAGATGCCATACAATGTGATTTTCTCGACTATGTCACCTACCTGATCATGACACAGCCGGCATCAAAACCATAGTTGTAGTTACAACTATTTTTGAAATGAGACAAGAATAAAAAGAGAAAACCCCAGTTTAAATTTTTATCTTAGGAAAACATTTCCTTCTTGATTTCCTCTGTATTTTTGACCATAAAACCAGCTCCTGGAGTTTTGTACTTTACTTGTTGTTGTTGGACACCCTGTATAAAGGCCTTCAAATAAACAATAAATACAGTAGATTTGCAACGGTTGTGTAGATGATTTATTGACTTTTGTTACTGAAAGCAGATATGGTATGGGATTGTTTGACTGGTAGAGAAGGAATGAAACATAGTATTGTACACTTTAAATCTTGTCTCAGACTTTGATAGAATGAATGCATCATGAAGCATGTGTATTTATGTTTATGTTGGTAAACATGTTATTCTGTGGTATAATTGAAGACTTTGTCTTCAGTTCAATTGTGGGAGACAACACTTTTCAACAGTGAAACAATTGATGCAAAATTAAAATAGGGAGATAGGTGTTGTAAAAATAATTTGCATTACAGATCAAGACTGTTTGCAAGTGCCAGCTTCATTCTATAAAAAAAACAAATGCTTAAGACACTATAGTTAAAATTAATAATGAAGTAGTTTGTATGACCCCAAAATCCCATATTGTATAATCAAACTGCGAAGCTTTAACTAGAATGCTTATAATTATTTGGCTTTTAAATAATGCAGCCTCACTTTCACTCCCAAAGACCCAAAATAAAAAAGCAAACTTTTGGTACTAATAGAAGAAAACTGCTCCTATAAAGTACAATGTGCAATATTTTTGGAGTTGCATGAACCTAACTCAATGTTATTTTTTATAGCAAACCTCATCTCTTAATCCTAGCCTCCCTGATCCTATCTCCAGTAATTTCATGGCTCTTTTTGGATTCCCTTTCATTTGACCTTTTCTTCCTTATTGTCAGTTTGGCTGCACTGCTTTGCTCATTGATTTAACTCGTAACTCATAAGCATGTTATATTCATATCGTTTGAGCATGTTGATAGTTTAGTTAAGATTATCAATTACATATTTGTGCAATCAAGCAATGTCATAACAGCTTGATTAGTTGCAAAAAGTAGTATACGGTGAAGTTTACTTCTTTGCCTCCTTAGAGGGAAAAACTCTTTAGTTAACGTAGATTTTATACTTTTTATACATGTTATTTAACACTTAACCACCCACACAAGTAAAGGGAAGGTTGTGTTTGCGCTTGTTTCCTTCTCTCCTCTCACCTCCAGTCTTGTCCCTATCCTAGACTGCTGGAGCAGACGACGGAGGAGCTGGATCACTGGCGCACCACGGCTCACCAGCTGCAGAGTCGTCTCACACAGCAGACTAGACAGTAAGACTACTATCTTGTTACTGGTACTCATAAGTAAAAGGGAGTGTTGCACGACGTACAATGTCACAGGCGTCCAAAATAAACTATTCAACTGTTGCAATCATAAAAACGTAGCCCATAGCACCACGACCAAAGCCGCTGGACAAGGTTAGGTTAGGCTTTGGACGTGGTGTTATTTTTAACTGCTATTTTTTAAGAGTGTAAAGTGCTGTCACACGATGACCAATTCCATGATGTCCAAACCTTGTAGAGAGATTATGTTTCTTGCATTTACTGTACTGTTGGTTATGATGAGATGACACTTGAATGTCATGCAACGAATCCAAATAAAATAGTAAGCTTATCACTCAAACACTCTGTTTCATGTTAATGCAAGACCTTATGAAATTAAGAATTAAGTGATATCCTATTTTGTGGCTTAGATAAAAGGAATGCTATTTAATAACTGCACAAATGTATATTTGAAACAATATTAACATTTTAGCAGATTTCCCATATAGGGGATAAGCTATGGTAAGACCTAAACCCAGGACTGATTTTTTCAAAGACACCATCCACTCAAATTTATATATCTAGTATGAAGAGTTTTAGCACCATTTTGATACGATTAGGTACAAACCTACATTTTCGCAATCCAGAATAATCGGACAGTAGGAATGGGGTTTTATTGAGTAAAATTGGTTTTTGTTTTTAAAATTTTTGACCCTCAAAACGTTAAATTTTTTTATTTCTAGCCAAACTATTACGTAGAGCTTAACACCCAATTAGCTGTTGTATGCTCATGGGTTACAGAGAAAATTCGACAAAAACTGTAAATTCCCATGTCATTCTTATGGGGAATAAGTAATCAGTTCTAGTTTGCTTGTTTATAGATATATTTTGATCAAATTTGGCAAATTTATTTATTTTATACTAACTAAGCTATATTATTAACATTTTACTGAAACACACACTTAATTACTTTCCGTCTAGCAGCAAACCTAAGTAGGGACTCATTAAACCTAATGTTATTAAAATATGGAGATATCTGAAATTTTTACAAAATATATTAGTGAAATGAAAATCCTAACAGGCAAATAAAAATTCATTTAGTTTGCAGGTTTGCTGCAGCGGGAGTATTTTTAAACTATAACTTTTAACCAGCTCAAGTCAAATCATTCTCAGCTCGTACAAATAATTTGTTGTACTATATCTGATGACTTAATACTAACTTGAAATATAAATATACATAAAAGAGGTAGTTAATTTTAGCTTAAAAATTGTATTGTTCTTCTTTTAAACCCTAGTTCCCATAACCCGGCATTTCACAAACTCGGCACCCTTCCAGTCCACATTACGCCGAGTTTGCGGGACTCTACTGTATTACCTGACTTGTATATACTGAATTTAAACAAATGGAGGATAGCTTTAGCTGGTTCAGATGAGCCGAGGATGAAATTGAGCGAAGTTCAGCTGTAGCAAAGAATGAGTGTGTTATTTTTGTTTGATTTTGTTTTCCTTCTTTTACGATTTTTCGAGTAATATGACATAAATAACGTTAGGTTTATAAAACAACAGGCAAAGCCTACAAAAAATGGCTAACACTTTTACCATGGAAAATATGTCCTTTCCAGTATTTTTTTGTGTGGTATAAAAAATGTAAACTTTCTGTTAACTGTTTGTTGGTTCATCTAGATTCAATACGGATCAAAATTAAATGTAAGATTTGTAAACAAACGGAACATTTCTGCTTAATATTTGGTACAAAATGGTCTTTATTGCCCGGACTTGGGTGTTTTATTTCAGACTTGAGCAGAGCTCGGACAGCAAACTGGTAGAGGATCTGAGGAAAGCTTTGATTGAGAAAGAGCAGCAAGTAGCTCAGTTGAGTAAAGAGAAACACTTGTACCAACTGGAGCTGATGAACCGCAACTGCCACGGTGAGGCGACAACAGTGACCGCACGGCAACGGAGACGAGGCAACCGTGGCAAACCTAACAAGTCAGGGCCGTCCCGAGGTCAGAACAAGTGATTGCTGTCACACCTCCACAACCATTCTAGTCACTAAGGAGAACTGATATTGTATAATTAATTGTATTTTTGTATATATGCCACAATACTGTTGAAACATAGCAGTATTATTCTTTTGTACTTAAATAAACCATTTGTTTACGATGTGTGTTTTGCTTTTATAATTTATCATGGATTGCAAGTTTTCCAAGGATGCCAATTTTTATAATCTTCATCTGCAAGTTCAGACCTTGCAGGAGCGCCAAAGATTTTATAGCACGAATAAAATTAGTTCAAAGCTATTAGTATCTCATTCATTTTATAAACAAAAAATTATAGCTAATAGATGATTTTAATAATGAAGATTTACTGAAATTTAAAAAAAATTATAAAATGTATGGCATGAGGGTAATTTTTGTAAAACGTAATCGTCTGTAAAGTATTATCAACATTGCATTTGATGCCAATCGCCCTTCTTAAAAAACATTAACCGATTGGTGCAATAGTTTTTAGCAACTAGCCTTTTAATTTGAATTTGTACAAGATTTTTCCTAAATTAAAATGATTTAAGTCTGTAATTGTTGTTCTTACTCTTGATAAAAAAAATATACCGTAAGAATAATCCAAGAACAATCCGGTGGCGAAATTGCCAAAACTTTTAAGAATTGTAATCAAATTCATCTTATTGTAACATACTGTACTTGACCATGCTATTAACTTCCTCCATGTTATCTTAAACACTTGTTTAACATGCAAGTGCCTGATAATGGAGTAAGTCATCATCTCTGGTTACATTATGAGAAATGTACACAAGTTGACTGACCACACCCCCAAGACAAACATATTAGCCTATATGATATTGGATGGGCACAAAAGGAAAACTACATTATCAAGATTACTTGCACTTTTATTAATGAGGCCTATCATTTTAAAGCTGATAAAGTAATAAAAGGAAAGCTACCACAAGCAAAAGCAAATAGTACAAGAATATTTTTTTTATCACAACAAATATCTATTCTTAATTGGTCTTTGGCTTTCTTGCCAATGTTTGTAACGAATCCTAGCACCAAAAATATCAACACATTTCAGAACCACTTGTTCTTCTTATCAAAGTTTAACACATATTTTTTCAACTTACTTTACTTAAAACTCTTCATTGAAAGGGTAGTCGGGATGATCTTTAATCCTGCAAAACAAAATAATTACTTATAGAAAAATCACGATAATTTATGGTCAAGGGGATACAGTTATGTTTACTAAGAGTTAAGGCTAACCAAACCCGCAATGATTGCAAGATTGCATTTGATTTCATGATTCATTTTATAACAAAAGTTACAAATTATGGCACATAGTAGGCCTACTTTGTGATAAACCTCAAGCAGTATTGAAATCCTGTATGAAAATTAAATAAATATTATATCTTGGAATCAAATTGTGACAGAAAAATATTATCATCATGTGATACATAACTTGGCGAGATATATGTTGACAGAAATGAAATTGAGCTTACCAAGCAAGTCCGACCATTCGTTCATTACAATCCAAGCTGTTGATTGTCTCAATGTCTTCAGGTTTCAAAGAGAAGTCAAATACTTGGATGTTGCTTTCAATCCTTGACTTGGTAACTGATTTTGGGATAACAATGTTGCCCTTTTCAATCTGTAATACAATGTACAAGTTTAAATAGTAAACATTTGTGAACACCTATCTATTTACATCGCGAAACTCACAATTATGATAATTGTAGATAGCTAAAAGAAGCAGATTAAACAAGACTGTATATGTTTCCCTCTACAACACTAGGCTATAGAGGAAATACAATCTAAGTTATCTTCGTTTATGTTATAATTTGTTACATAGCTAGTGAAATTGATCAAATTAAATGTTAACATTTAATTGAATCTTATTATCCTATTACATCACCCTACAATTAAAATATTTCACGCTCAATTATGCTTTCTGTGCATAAGTGTACATCTTTGCTTCTATTTAGTTTAGCAACAAAGTAGCATTAGGCCTACATATCTCAAACACTACCAAGCTTAAAATGCAAAATGTTTATCAGATTCTTGACTAATCCATCAAGTATTTGATACCTCAACCCAATTGATTTTTTTAGTGAATGACAATTCCAATTAGAAAACAATGTTAAACTTTCAGCATGTTTGGTTACTGAAATAATTCAAGGTGACAGGAAGTTGATAAGCAGCAAATACTAGGGCAATTAGTTCCTGTAAAATGAGTGTGTGAAACATCATATGTAGAAGCCAACTAACTATGTAAAACAATCTTCATGCTGGTTTCCTGGATAGGCTTCCATGGTCACTGATTGTAGATTCTTATATTGATGCTTGTTTAATGATTCACAAGTTACCTCATTAAACTAACAGAGAATCACTGAATTTGATCCGTTCCTTCCTCATATAAATAATTGCAACTAATGCCAGTTTGTGTGACAAGTCTTTCCGTACATGCAAATTTCATAAAAGTTTAAATTAGTTAAATAAAATAATAAAAAATTTGTTTCGAAAAACAGGAAATAACCAATTTTGGGAGATTCACTTAAATTATGGTTAGCCAGTAATTCTGTTACCTGCCAGCGAAGGGCGATTTGAGCTGGGGATTTGTTGTACTTTTCGGCTATCTTGGTGATCTTCTCATTGGCCAAGAGAGGCTGTTCATCAGGCTTGGCCCATGGACGATCAGGAGAACCCAGGGGACTGTAGGCTGTCAGTGTCACTCCTACAGAGTCCAGGTAGGCCTTCAACTTCTTCTGGTTCAGGTAGGGGTGACACTCCACCTAGACACACTCATTCATTGTATCGACTAGCACAGGTTGGAACGTTGGGTTATGTTTATGGCTTTAGAACACGGCTGATGCCTATTTGTATCTGATATTTCACCTTTTAGGTTATTAAGAAGATGTTAGTAAAAATATCAGAACACGGGATAGAGTATTCCTACTGCACATTCAACTCAAATCAAGCATACATGTTATATCAAGTATAATATATCAAGTGTTATATCAAGTATATTTAGAAAGTTTTTTTATTTCTTTATACCGAGTTGGAAAATGTACTATCTAGACAAAAGTGCAGTAACTGATACACTTACTTATCAGAATTGTTTTCTGATACTGTAAAGTTTAAATTTTCAAACAAAACTTCATTGTATTATTGTATTCAAGTAGTGTTCTCATTGCACATACTAGTTAAATAATTTGACTATTGATACACGTAACAGGGTATTGATATAGTTAAAGGAATTCTTATCAAAAGTAGTAGTTAAAGTGGTGTGCAATTATGGTAAAAATGAGGTCGAAGAACTCGCCTAAATGGTTCACATATACTATCTACAATTGATAGGATAGATTTCTGTTTGTCTAAAATTAAGTCATACCTGCCTAAAAAGGTTTGCACATTTTTATAGACATTCAATTCAAAAGGTCTCTTAACCCTCCATTGGTGACACCACAGAGTTTTCTTCTGGGTGCACTTGTTTTCATAGAAGATAATGCATTGTTGAGCTGGCCAGCAGTTTCAAGAGTAACCGACCTCACTTGTCTTTTATGAGGAACTGATTGAACACCATTTCGCTCTCCCCCCTCTACTACCCCTATTATTCAGTTGAAGCAAGAGAGTCCCGTAGCACGGAGCTCGCCTCCGTGTGTCACCGATCGTGCTACTAGACGCTCAGAGTATAATTCCGTGTGTCACCTATGGTGTTGCTGTTTTTGTAATTTTTTCAGTCATTTTTAATGGATGATGATGAGAGAACATTGAGAATTTTGTCAAGTACTGAAAGAGAAAGGCCAAGTGGTTCTGTTGTTAGAAACATTTTTCACGATGAACACAATGAAGATCCGATTACGTATGGTGATGAAAGTAATTGGAACGATGATTTTTGTAATTTTTAAGGATGTTTGGTCTAGAGATGGGTTTGGTGTTAGTAAGTAACTTATCATTTATTATATACAGCAGATAATTAATTAACTCTTAAAGTGTAACAAAAGAAAAGGTCAAACCTAATGGCAACCTATAGGAAACTTTCTTTGAAGGTGAAGAAGACTAGTACGACTGAAAGTGCAACACTTTTACTACCAATACTCAATCGCTCGGCCTTTCTCTCTGAGCTCGTCAGCCAGCCAGTAGGCTACACTAAATTTTAATTTTAAAAACATTAACATAAATATAGGCTGTATATAGAAATGTATGTTACTTCTTGCCTACCTCTTACCTATTATTTTGTATTTTAAATTTAAAAAAGGTTTTGTGCTTGTAAGGATATGGATTGGACATGGTCCTAAGCACAGTACCTGGTTGGTGACTGGCTTGATGGTAGCATTCTCCAGCACCTTGGCGACCTGCTTGCTGTTGAAGTTGGACACTCCAATAGACTTGGCCAGACCTTGCTGCACACATCTCTCCATAGCCTTCCAAGTCTCCAGGTAGGGGGTGCTGCTGTACACTGTCTTGTTGTCAGCATCTACTGGGAACAGCTCATCGCCTTCCTACATACAACACTGTCGGTCACTAATCAAACTCTCACGCTAACATTAGGCTGTTACAGCCTTCGGGGAAACAATCTACCATCATTGCTTGCAAGTCAAAACAGTAGAATCTACAGTGCAATAATTGCTGAAAATTGTATAGCCTATGTTTATTGGTAACACGGCTTTTTTAATAACTAAAATATAAAATATCATGGTATTGTAGCAGAATCAAATCTACTTAGAATGCCAAACACTGGGAATCCACTATTACTCTTAAATAACATCCAGGTTGATTGACATACTAGCATGACCAAGTTTGGTTTTTTGGGTGGCTTAAAAAGGCGTATCAAAGTGCCAAAAACCAAATAGCACATTGTTTTACATACTTTTTGTCTACCTGTTCACAATACATGGATAAAATAATATTTCTGTTATGACAATCCACCCTCTTTAGTGGTGGTTCTTCATGGCCTTTATGATCAGTTAACCCTTCATAAGCAAGAATATAAAATATAGTGTCGAACGGATGGTTGACCAGTCACGACTAACCCTTAGCCAGCGCCGTACTACTTTTTTTGTTACTGTCTGATCGACCAGTGCAAAAGGTTTTGTTTAGATTGTTTGTGTTATATGTTTTGCTACCTATTCATTAAACTTTCGACAAACACCACCACAAGGAATATTTAAATAAAGACTACTTGACATTCTTTCGACCTGTTGATATGTTCCATTTGAAGCATGAAGCAGCTGTAGTCCTAAAAAACCGTTTTGGCAGCAACAAGGTAATTTAAACCACTATATATAAATAATTTAGTAATATTGAAGCGTTGTTGAACAGTTACAAAGAAAATTCCATAAAAATGTAAATAAAAAACTTTTAGTGTAATTCTTAACATTTCAATAAGTACCAACATACTAAGAACCTGTAGCAGCAAACCTAAGAACTCATTAAAATAATTTTATTTTTTTAAGAAATAAATCTGATACTTTTAAGGGAATATCTTAGTGAAAATATAACCAGGTTAAGGGAAATTTGCTAGTTTTGCAGGTTTGCTGGGACACGTTTATTAGTTGCAAATTTCTTTTTTTGGTGGTAGAAATGGGAAAAACCTATTTTCACCCCATGAAAAACCCCATACAACCCTAATCCTACAGTCCGATCATGCTGGTTCACAAACTTGTTTGAATGAATGTGAATTAAACAGATGTACCATGAGACCTATGGTATTAGCTTATTTCCTATATGGGAAATTCGCTAAAAGCCATGAAAGTAATCAACCCTACACACAGATATTACTTTTAAACCCCTAAGTTAACTACATATTTCATAAGCTACTGTTGAATGAGACTAAGAGATAAGAAATTAATAACCAGGAGCTTAAAAGGGGATTGGCCAACAAAGTGGGATTTAAAGTTCCATCTATCTATTGGCTTTCTTTCTGATAAGATGTCTGGTTAAGCTTATGTGTTATCAGGTTATCTGTGATGATAAATGTTGAAAGTTACAGTTGTCGAGGTCTGTAACACTATCAATATACTTGCCTTGTGGTTCGGATTCCACTATAAACTGTAGGTCCCTTAGTTGCCATTAGCTGTATGGGCTATTAATTAACAGCTGTGTCTAAGGAATAAGTCGGCCTTAGTCACTAACAAGACTACAAGATCGTGCCACTCATCCTACACTCATCTCCATTCATAATTGGCTTAAAATACCTACTTTGTATGGTCGCCATTTCATTGAAAAGTATTAAGTCAAGTATAAGTACCTATTAAATTAATTACGGCAAAATCTCGTAGTTACATCTTCCGTGGTCTTGTAGAAATCATCATTGTCTCTTGCGGTCACAGAAACGTATTATCTTCTTCTGTGATCGCAGCAAAATGTAAAGTATATCCCACGGTTGTGTAGATATCCTTATTAACTCCCTCGGTCATGGAAACATAGTAATCATTATGCAATCGAAGAAAATCTCTTACATCCGCCGCGGTCTTGTAGACATCATCATCGCCTCCATGGAAACAACATAATCTTTTTTTGTGAGTGTGGCCAAAAATTGATGATCTTCCTAGGTTTTGTGGACATCATCTTTGTCTCCCACAATCACGGCAGAAACCTTGAATTTTTCAATCTCAAATACTTTGCAGACACGCTCTGCGATCGTAATAGTAAAAGCTAGGGTCAACTCAGCCTATTTTCTGTAAAAAAAACTCTGGATTTCAATTAAAATTCCAATTGTCCGATTTTTTTATCATCTAAATTTGTTTCAGTCCCAATTGGTTCAGAAAGTTGGAGTTGTACTGTAACGGGGTTGTTAAAGACTTTGCCGCGATCAGGGGAGATGTTCAATATTTCCCAACAACGGCGGATCAGCTAAAGACTATTTTAAAGTTAGTTCCTACCGGTTTACGTAGAGGATAATTTATTGATTACCATTTGCTCATTTTAATATTAACTTGTATTTCACCAAATAAAACAATCTATTAGAACATTATTACTTGCCCCGTAGTCTTTTGACTTAAGAGTATAAATCATAATTTATCATGTAAAACTTAGAAACATAATATAATATATTGCTTACCTTGTAAGCTTGTGGCCAATGAATGAGGTAAAGGTCCACATAGGTCAGCTTGAGATTCTCCAAGGATTGTTTAAGTGAAGGCACAACCAACTCATCTTTGTGGAACGTATTCCATAGCTGAAAGATACCAAGTACTGTACTCAATGATTATCCAATAAAAGAAAAAGTGAAGCCGACATAACGGAAAAAATAAACGGTAGGCTATCAGAAATCTGACACATACTTTCTCCCATAAGCTTGTCAACAACCTTTATCATGGGTAAGCGGTGGGAGTAACTAACCTTTATCATGGGTAAGTGGTGGGTTATGATATTTTGAAGAAGAAGTTAGACCGTAATTGTTACAGCAATGCTGGGTTGTACTATTTTGTTTAGAGTTATAAGGACCATACCACATAAATTTTAATCAAAACCGGCTTTTTTCCTAAATTCAAATTTTGTTATTTCATGGGGTTTTTTTATGGGAAAATAACATGAGTTACAATAACTTTGGAACCGTATCTCTTACGGAAATGCGACTTGTAGGCTACCATTTTGTTCAAAATTTAAAGGACCATAACATAATAATTTTATTCAAAACCGGTCTTTTTCTAAAATCCAATTTGTTGTTATTTAATGGGGGTTTTATTGTATAATAACATAGGCTGCAATAGCTTTGGAACCCTATTTTTTACGGAAATGGGATTTGAAATATTTTGTTCAGAATTCAAAGGGCTATAAAACACTACATTATTATTAAAATCGTTGGGGCCATTTTTGAGAAAATCCGATTTTCCGTTATTCTATGGAAAAATCACCATAAAAAATTAAAAATTTCAAAAAAATTATAAAGAGAGATACCATGGATAAGTGCCTACATGCCAAATTTCATTAAATACGGACTACAGGTGTGGTCTGTAGCTCTGTACACATCCACACACACACACACACACAGACATCACTTCAAAAACCACTTTTAGCGAATATCCCATATAGGGAATAAGCTATTGCCGTAGTACTCATGGTAAGACCTGGACCTGGGACCGATTTACTTTTTAGTTTTGATGTCCCCAAGGACCTCCAGGACCCCCCCCCCCCCCGCCTAGGGACCGTAAGGACCTCAAAACGAAAAAGTAAATCGGTCCTGAGTCAAGGTCTTACCATAAGTACTACGGTAATAGCTTATTCCCTATATGGGAAATTCCCTAAAAATACTGATTTTAGTAATTGCCTAGGAAAACACATTTAAAGACATAAAATTAGAAATTAAATATTGAATATGGGAGGACAGGAAAAGTAAATTTCTATAAGTTTGCTACTAATGACTTCAGTGGACAATCAATATAGAAAAATAGAAGAATGAGAATAATCACTGCACAAGTTGGAGGATTGTTGTAAAAAAGAACAGAACATAATGAAAAGTAAAACAAAATTACCTCACTAAATAAGAATCTATAATTACTGAAGCAGAAAGACAAAACAGAAATGTTTTTTACAAAAATAGGAGTACTGTATGCAATTTACACATTTTAATAGGGTTCAAAAGTTGTTTCCGAGGCATAGTAAATAATGCAATATAATCTTTTATTTTTCTAAGATAACTTTAGCTGAAAAATGTAACATTTAAATTACAGTACCTTAGTGGTGATGAAGAGATCTTCTCTCTTACAAATTCCATTTTGCAAAGCCTTCTCTATTCCTTGTCCTACCTCACGCTCATTTTGGTATACAAGAGCACAGTCAATGTGCCGATAGCCAGTTTGGATGGCGTGGAAAACGGCCTCACTCACCTCACCAGGTTTTGACTATAACAACCATATGTTGTAATATTCTACTTTCGGCACAGTTCCGCAGAGAACCTGCGATTTATTATCGGATTAAATACCGATGTCATAGAATTTTATTGTTTGATATTAATATGGCATCAAATTTAAGATGTAAATAAAAAAAACAAAAAACATCAATAAAGTTTTTTTTATTTCATCCTTAGTTTTATACCAAATTTGTACGACTAAAAATGGAACAAACTATATTTGTTATTTAACCTATAATATTATGTTATTTTTATTTTTGTGAACATTCGTAAAATATGTTTTGTTTTTGGTTGAATATTGATATTTTAATTTAATAAATATCAAATAAAAGGTAGAGCCTAACCCAATTAAAATGTTTAATGTAATTCAATTCAATGTTAACATTTATTAAACATCAATAAAAACGTAAACATATAACCCAATTTAGATGTTTACGTCGGAAAAAAAACCTAAAAAGAAATTTATCAAACCGAATTAAAATCGATAATTTAATATCTATATTTAATCCATTAATATATCGCAGGATCTACGCGGAACTGTACCCCTAATTTCTTACTAACAATACTAATACATGATTTAACTTAATCAGCAACAAGTTTAGCCAAGTAGGCTGGATAATTTGATATTCTAAAAACCAAAAAGAAAACTAAATTAACACTGTGCTGCATTTCTTAGTAATCATTAAAAGAGCCGATTTACAAACTATGGAAACATGGGAAAGTCATAGAACACCACCAAGGAGAAGAAATAGAAATAATGTTTTTTTTTTATTTTAGAATTTATACCTCATCGTTACTATGGACAACTTAATGTGGCTATTTGTAGAAAACACTAAAAAACAAGATCAGCTCTTGAAAAATGATAAGATATTTTTTACAAGAAATGTTGATTATCAATCTATTATGACATCTTAAGTATTTACATAATCTGAGTTGCATCTTTCAAAGTCATCAGAAATTATGACTGCTATTTAAAATAACGCCTGTAACACTTAGCAATTGCTCGAATTCGAGCAACTGGTAGGCCTTACACTAGTTAATGTAACAGATCATTATTTGTAGTATAAATATGGATTTATTAAAATTGTTGTTAGGTCTTGCTACGCCTAAGCAATAAGTTGGGAACTAAAATATAAATTAATGTAAAGATCATTAACCTATTTTTAGTCATAGGCTTAATGAAATTAAGTTATGGACCTTTTTAGTACCTAGCAATAGGTTGATACAAGTTCATGAGGAAACCAGTTTATTTAATTTTGAAAAATGTATTGAAACATAAATTAGGTAGGCCTATATGTTTGTCGTTACCGAAGTTGAACAAATGTTACCAAAGTGACAAAATCTTGTTTGACTTAGCCTATAACATTTTGAGTTTCATAAACCAGTTATCTGGGCCAGGGGAGGACATCCTTATATATAATACGTGCAGGCGATTTCTACGAACACTACTCCTCTGTTAATAATGGACGGATTTTTACAAACGATGTCTCAAAATAAAGTATTTTTTCTGTAGGCCCCCTTTCACAAATTCATGTAATAAAGGTCCTCGGGCTTTGCCCCACAGGCCATCAAAATACCAATGTAAATCTTATGAAGAAATGATTATGATTACTTTAACAGACGAATAATTTGTTTTAATTGCATACTAAAACAGCTGTTTATAGTAAACACACACAAGAGCGTTCGTTTTCAGTTTCGATAACTGGAGTGGAGTGATTGATTACATTATCATTGAGTTGACTCTTTTTAAGTCATCGAAAATTATGACTGTTATTCGTTTTATTATGTAAAGGGAATTTTTGGTACCTAAAGTAAACATGTCCTAAGAATGTTGTTATACTTGGGACCGAAATTTTCAAATGGTAACAGGATCAAATTTAATCCTTAGCATCGTCAAACAAGTTTCTTACTCATTATTTTAAGGGATGTTATAAATTAAGGATTTGTAATTTCCATATAAGCTGGGCCAACGTCGTAGTACAAACTGGGTGTTGTCGACATGAGTTATGGACCAGGTAATTAATGTTGTACTTTCAGGAACATATAACACTTGGTAAGTACAATATATAACGGCAAGAGGCTTTACTTATCACCCTATGGAATAAAAATATGTATTCATATACAAGTTTAATGTGATTTGGGGAAATAGTTCAATTTATTTATTACCGAATGCTTAAAGTAAGTCACAGCTCAATATTAATAATATACGCCAACTTTATTAAGATTAAACATAAAATATAGTGACAAATTACTAAAACGAACTACAGTGTTTTCATCTAAAAATCATAATTATTGTAAATAAATGATCATAAAGCTTTTATCTTTATTTTTTGTGGTACCCTACAACTTATTGTATTTCTATCCTTCCTTAAATTCCACTATGCGTTTGTCAAAACTACAATACTTAAAGTACGGTTGGATTCCAAGGTTACGTCCAATATTTCCTTGCTTTACTTAACATAATTAAATAGGTTATAAAACCTCAAGAGCGGTAACTTAGATAAACCGCAGTGCTGATGTAATCTGTTAATTCAATTTGCTAATTAAAACTATTTTAGTAACTCTTCCTTCAAATTAAATCTCTTAAAATGAATGGGACATTTTGGGTAGAAAAGTAAATAATATTATTTAATAGAACAAAGTTAGAAACTAGTTTATAATAATTTCAGTAAGTTAATGATTATTTTTAACCACACTGGTCGTGTTAATTTATTTCATGCATACATCAAACACTATAAGCCCAGGCGCATATTGAGCTGTGCAGCACAGCGACAGGAGCATTACACAGGAGTAAAAATTCTGTGTCGAACAGTAAACATCGCATATTGGGAAGCAGTGTTGTACAGTTCTATCTGAGTGATACAGTTTATTGTGTGAGCATGTAGTTATAAATATAAGGTTTGAGTTCTGAGACAGATTCAGATGCTGATCTAGATTTATTGTTACTGCTTCACCAGAGAAAAAAGAAAAATTGGAAAAATCTTCAATGTTTAGTTCTGTTTGTATTTTCTCCCAGATTTCATTTTTGTAACTAGGCCTACTCTTTAACTTATATACTATGACTGGTAACAAACAAAAGTGGATAAAAACACACCGTTTTTATAAACTTCTTCTCTAAATCCATTACACAACACTAGTCACACGGCGCAGGTGAACAATGCGACGGAGGCACTTCTGTCTTGGCCACAAGTGCGCACAGTCCACCTGCGGGACTGCACTGCGCTTTGTCTCAATATACGCGAGCTATAGCGTAAATTTGGTTTACAAAAAACTGCCCTGTCCAGTGCTGCGCTGCTCTGACTAGGGATGGCCGATTGTCGATAGTCCCTTACAATCGATTGTCCCGATAATATCGAGCTTAACAATCGATAGTATCGATAGGCAATCAACTTTTTAAGTACTCACGTGTATATGTGTATTTCTCAATGGTACTACTTTAAAATCAAACTTAAATAAGAGGAAATTGCATGAATGAAACAAATGCTAATAACGTTGTTTATTAATATGTATTATGGTAAACAAATTAAAGTGTAATGTTTTAAAAATCAGCATTATGGACATAAAAAAGACAAATTCTTGCCCACAAATACTAGAAAAATACCAGTATGGATCATTAATATAAACTTATGACGTTTTTGGACCGAAATAAAGTAAACAAACTCCTATACTAATAGCATTAATTAACGTATGGTTTTGTTTAATTTCGGGCCATAAACGTAATTTGTTTATGTTTATGATCCATACCGGGTCCTTTCTAGTTTCTATAATTAATTTGTGCCCCCGCCCCACCAGCGTGCCTTGCCGCCGGAATACAATCAATTGTTGAAAAGAAACTATCATTAATTAGTCTATCGATTGTTAAAACAATCGATAGTATCGATCGTACAATCGAAAATCGGCCATCCCTAGCTCTGACTGCGTCTCAATAAGTTATATGCGCCGGGCCTAAATGCTTGGTAAAAATGTTAAGTTATTTTTTAAACATTTTACACCCATCATGGATAAAGTGGGTACAGTTTCTTAACTGGGCTATGCTAATATTGATTGAAACTATCGAATTGAAAATATTGATTAATAATCAATATTTTTAAATATCTATTATAAAAACTATCATAACCTAACCTAACCAACCAAACTTACTGATGGTGAAAAAATCGCATGCAGGTTTACTAAACAAAATGGATAGTTTCAATCGGCATTAGTATAATCTGATTCATTAATTAACCTTTGATAGCCTTAATTAGCTTTGATTAACCTTGATAGCTTTGATTGGGCTGGTGGTAGCCCAGTTAAGAAACTGTACCCGATAAAGTTTCTTAACTGGGCTACCCTAATATCGATTGAAACCATTAATTGAAAATATTGATTAATTTAATTTATAACATTTATCGATTTGGTATTTAGATGATCAATGAATGAATTTGTGGTCTAAGGTGAGTTGGGGGTTGTAAATAAGTAACCCATTTTCTGTTCAGTAACAGAAAATTTAATAATAAATCGATTTAAACTGTTAAACACCTAACTAGTGAGCTTACCTTCCAAGTGCCCAAACCAAACTGTGGACAAGTCAAACCATTGTTAAATTTGATGGTTGGAACATTAGCCATGCTGAAGAAATTGCGCGAGAAAAAGAAAAGTTTCTTGTTTGGTCCAGTGAAACTGTTAATATTATAAAACCTAGAGCTAAAAGCTTGCTGATTAACTATCGGCACAAAGTCGCGGTGGAAACAACGTTCGTGGTGTTGGCTGATACTGATAGTGCTGCTAACAGTGAGGTTGAGGTTAACTTTTTTGATTAATCGGCCAAAGATACGGCTTGAAGTTGACACTGCAGCCGACATGTTTAACTGATAACTGTTTTTACAGGGCTGCCACCTTGGAATCATTCTCGGAATAATTTCCCAGCATTTACACATATAAACGGAGAAATTTTAATATAAAATATCCCCGCCACAGCAAACCTGCCATCTAAGCGAATTTCCATTTGCCAGAAATGATTTTCAATAATCTATGCAAATAGCATTATGTTTATTGAGTACCTAGGTTTGCTGATACAAGGAAACTAATAAAGTGTGTAAACTATTTGCCGTATAAATAAAATAGTAATAAGTAAAAATTTATAAAATCAATACATTTTTCAAGTTTTATCAAAATATATCCATAAACAAGCAAACAACAACTTTTTACAATAATACTGGTACCTAATACCATCTAATACCCATAAAAATAACATGTGAATTTTATATTTACAAATTTTTTTAGTTTTCTCCGTAACCAATAACCGTACAAAAACACTTTGATATACGGTACTGGATTATTTGTTTTTTAAGCTGATGAGAAATGTTTACATCTATATATCAATCGTTAGTTCTTCGTTAGTCCTCGATAGTTCCCAAATTTTTTCGTTAGTTCTCAAAAAAAGTTATACATCTATATATCAATCGTTAGTTCTTCGTTAGTCCTCGATAGTTCCCAAATTTTTTCGTTAGTTCTCAAAAAAAGTTACGAGGCATACAAAGTGGGTACGCCAACTTCACAATTATAGAATTTCCAGCGGGCACAGTTTTCTGAATAAAAATGCTTATATCTATATACCAATCGTTAGGTCAGCTTCAACTCATCAGGTGCAATTTTTTATGTTTTTTTTTAGAACTAACAAAATAAATCGGTGAGGTATCAAGAACTTACGATTAATATTAAGATATAGGCACTTTTAGTCAGACAAGGGTGCACGCTAGGAATGATTTGGGTGTGAGGTTGGCATAACCACGTTTAAGACCTTATTGCCTTTTTATTTTTTAAGAACTAGCAATAATATTGGGGAACTAACAAGAAACAACGAAGAACTTAAAATTGGTATATAGATATAAGCGTTTTTAGTCAGAAAACGGTGCCCGCTGGAAATTTTATAATTTTGAAGACAGTGTACTCACTTTGTATGTACTCACTTCGTAACTTTTTTATTTTTTTAGAACTAACGTAAATATTGGAGAACTATCGAGAACTAACGATTGGTATATAGATATAGGCATTTATAGTCAGAAAACTGTGCCCGCTGGAAATTGTACAATTGTGAAGTTAGCGTACCCACTTTGTATGCCTTGTAACTTTTTTTGAGAACTAACGATAAAATTTGGGAACTATCGAGGACTAACGAAGAACTAACGATTGATATATAGATGTAAACATTTCTCATCAGAAAACGGCGCGCGCTAGAACCCGGAAGTGTGAAGTTAGCGTACCCACTTATTATCGGCTATAACTTTTTTTATTTTTTGAGAACTAACGAAAAAATTTGGGAACTATCGAGAACTAACGATGAACTAACGATTGGTATGATCAAAAGTGGATACGCTAATATGGGTACGCCAACTTCACGGACCTACACTAATATGGGTACGCCAACTTCACGGACCTCTTTGTTTCCTTTTGGTAAAAATGTAAACTAGTCTATTTCAGGGAAAGGAATAATAATGGTGCTTGCTGGCTGGTGGTTGACAGAATAGACATACGGGAGGGACGATGGCTAAAGGTGTGGTGACGTCATATCTATAGTGGCTAATGTCTTCTCTTGAAGCAACACGATTACCGTAACGAGACGATGAGATTCCAGCGGCGTTCGTGGCTTTAGCCTTTTTGTCTATGCTTTAGCGCATCGGACTAGTGTTCAGGAGGTCTCGAATTCGAAACCCGTCGGGGACACTAACTTTTTGTCAAAGATTTTGCTTTATTTGATTTTTATCTTATATATTTTTTATATTATCAGCAAGTTTGGTTGGTTAGGTTAGGTTATGACAGTTTAATTTTATAATACTAAATTTTAAAATTGATTTTATAATTAAAAATTATAAGTAAACATTCATTTCATTTTTATCTTATATACTTTTTATATTTTCAGAAAGTTTAGGTTGGTTAGGTTAGGTTATGACGGTTTAATTTTATAATTAAAAAGTTAATTTTATAACTAAAATTATAAAATTAACTTAATTTAAAATTTCCAACTTAGCGGTTCTATCGGCGAACGCTGACACTATGTTAGCCATCGTCCCTCCCGTGTGCCCCACCGGGTTGTTGATGTTGACCCTCTGTCGCTGTAGTCGTAGCCAGTGTTTCCATTTGAGGGATAAAAATCCCTTTCTAGGGATATTTAGGGCCTTCGAGGGATTGAAAAGGGATTGAGGGATAACTAGGGATAATCAGCGAAATTGAAGGATTTTTGAGATTTTCTAGGGATTTCAGTCCTTTGACATTATAAAATTGAAATATTGATAAAATAATACATTATGGCTGTATTTCAACAACGTTAAGGACCTTTTGGCTAATTTTCCAAGGTATTAATAACACATTGATTGGTACTACTTTTTCCCTAGGTTTTGCTAACAAATCGATTGTAGCATAGATAAAAGATACTCTTCAAGGAGGATGTTTTATCTATGGTTGTAGTTAGTGGTATGGTAGTGACGTAGTGTTTCGAAGTCGGGACACTCACGGGGAAGAGTAACAAACAGCCAACACTGCAGGAAACAAGCGAAGTTGGAGTTGGTCGGTGGAATGGAATGGCGGATCTAGATTACTGTATTTTTTTTTAGTAGCCCTGTGCCCTGTGTCAATGTCGAATGTTTGTTTTCGTTTTGATTTTGTTTGCCGGTGATTTCTGTGATGTCTGTGATGTTCTTTGGTTAGTAAGTAACTTGGTGTAACCTTTTCACCAAGGCATGATGGCCATGTTTGAAAAAGACTATTGAGTTTGAAAATTGGACACTTAAATAATATTTTTGAAACGATTGTATACCAATATTAATCTTGTTTTGTACCACATAGACAGTTTTTAATCACGACTACCTTTAATTCCAGGCCGGAGGCCGCGGCCTTCGAAGTGGAAACGTTGCAAGTTGCAAGTATATTATTGTTGTAAAGGTGTTTGTTTGGAGAACGCTAAGCTATAATGATATTTATGTATTTTTTTAAGAATACGAAAGCTTGGTTACTGAGCTATGAAAATATTGACTCCACATTGAATGTACAGAAATAGATTTTCAATTTATATTGTTTTGGTTTTCGATTCTATATTATGTTTTATTTCCATGTTAACTTATGGGACGTCTTGCGCTAAACAATACCTACTACAGTACTTGCAACGTTGCCAATTCTACCAGGCCGCGGCCTGCCTGGAGTTAAAGATGGCCGTGGTTTTAATGCTACAAAAATGTTTTTTATATAGTACCTATTACTTTATAAATAATATGGGTTATTGAAGAATAATATCACCAGTTACCATATTTTAGGTGGCTATACATGATATCATAGATAAAACATACTCCCTTGTGTTGGTTAGTCTATGATGATATCCATTGGTATTGCTGCAAAAATAATAAATTATCTAGATTTGATATAGAGGGATAATTGGAGGGATTATTAGAACACGGACTAGGGATAACTAGGGATTTTTTGACGTTGGCCCAGGGATATTTTTTTCTTGCGGATGGAAACACTGGTCGTAGCGCACAGTCAGTCCACTTCCACTGTCCATGTCAGTGTCCAGCCAGTGGAGTCTGGAGTCAGTCAGTCAGTCTCAGTCAGTCAGGCAGGACAAACAAACATTATTCTCATTCTCATTCTGATCTGATTATGCGTCTGCCATACTTTTGTAATTTGTACTAAGTTACCCTCTGTTGTTGAAAACTTGAAAGATTTTGCCACAGTGATTTACAATAACCAAATAAATACATTAAACTAGTTTTCAACAACCAAACTTATTTTTATTATGAAACTATTAGTTTTGATAGATCATTTCTTAAATGTTGGCTAGGTTATGTGGTTCTTCACTTGCAAGTTACCATAAAATGAGATGCTGTTACACATCTATACATTTAAGTGATTTTCTATTTTTCTTCAAAGATGGGAAGTTTGGACAATGCTGTTATAACAGGTTTTATATGCCGATTATGCTCTGAAATGAGCAGGTTTGTTATTCATATTTATGGAGAAGAAGGGGCTCGGATGCAGCTAGCAAAGAAAATTAATGAATATTTGCCCATTACCGTAAGTACCTCTTAAGTTTAAGGGGAACCGTTTCGGTAGATAGATATAGGCCTACCTACTTAAAAATATCAATTATTAATCAATATTTTCAATTTGATAGTTTCAATCAATATTAGCATAGCCCAGTTATGAAACTGTAGTTTAAGTTAATTTAGGTCTTAATGCAATGCAAACATAAAAGCAGGCCATGACAAACTTAAGGCTACCTAGGCCTAACATACCTGGTGGCTCTTGAAAATGGATTGAGTTAGGACCTAGGCCTAACACGTTTGCTGTGAGCCACTCATTGGTGAGTGCTCCTGTTCCTTTCTGCCACCCTGAATGCTCACCCTTGAGTGACGACATTGTCTACGTTTCATTCAATTTCTGCACAGCAGCACACCGGGAAGAGTGGGTATTTTTATGTCTGCGTTTAATATGTCTGCGTTAGCTAGGAATGGGCGCTTTATTGTGGTGTAGGTTGATAGTAAATTTCTCCGTAGAATCTCCTTTCTTCTACTTAGCAAGCTTAGTAGTCAACTTGTCCTGTCTTTCTCCCTCCTATTGGCAATACAATGGCACCAGCTAGTTCCAGGCAGTGCTGCTATCTGTGAGTGTTTCAGCAAACTTCGTTGACTGTTGTTAGCAGAACATCACCGTATGTCATTTGCTATTCATCAGACCAAAATATTTGAAAGCCAAATGGGTTTGCTCGACAAATGGAGACTAAACAAGACATAGAACAAGTTTGTTTATAAAATGTCAAACTTATAGGTAGGCCAACTCATACCTACATTAACAACTAACACACTT